ATGCCATTCAAAGAGAAATATACATTAATATACAACAGTAAAAAATTCCAAGATATGCCATTTTCAAAGTCATGTAATGATTTCCTAGTAACAACTGGGAAAAAAAAACCAACACCCACAAGAACTGCTTGAACAGTGGTAGCACAAACAGCTAGATTTGTAGATGTAAAAGAAAAATCACTGGAAGAGAGCAGACTACTATACTCTTAATTTATTCCTCCAGATGTTCCTACTACACAGTTACAGATTGGTTGTTGAATCCAAGGTAAGCACCTATTTCACCGTTAGTTCTGCTCAATCTAAGGAAATGCACCAAGCTTCACCTACAGTTGCATTAAGTCAGGAGTGCCTTAAACACTACTCCAGTGTGATTTTTTTTTAAATGCAAGCATCAAATATATTAAGTATCATTTTTTAAAAAAGTCATATTCATGCCTCTTAAATGAAATCTAGATGAGGCAGCTTTAATCACTGCAGCTGCTTACAGACAAGTCAGTAAGAAAAAAATTGCCACTGTTGGCAAGACAAGAGCAAACCCCAGAATTCCAGAACAGAAAACAATACCCATGCAAGCAGCAGTAACCAGAAGCTGGTAAAGATATGTCCTGGTTTCAGCTTGGATAGAGTTAAGTCAAGGTTTTGCCATAAAACAAAGTAAGGTCTAGGGACCTGCACAGAAGATCCAGTTTTTAGAAATAAAATGGCAAGATGGACGTCATCAGATCCCAATGGATGAGATCAACAAAACAGCTATGTCTTCTCCAACTAGCAAAAAGAAAACACAAGCTCTCCTAGGTGTTGTGAGTTTTTGGAGAATGCGTGTTCTGAATTATGGTCTGATTGTAAGCCTTCTCTATCAAGTGATCCAGAAGAAGAATGATTTTAAATGGGGCCCTGAGCAATGACAAGCCTTTGAACAAATTAAACAGGAAATAGCTCAACAAGTTTTTCAGCTAAGCAAAGGACTTGCATCTGTGTTTCGTAAGTGAGTCTTGGACAGCTGAACCCTGAACAAGAGTTTATACCTACTTATGTGTGCTTTTCAACAGCCCATCTCTGCTTTGGTCATGTCATCAGCCTTCAAGCATTTATGCACCCTCCCCTCCAACATCTCCCTTACATTTAGGGCATGCTCCCTTCTAAATCCTTACCACCACTATCATTCCCTCCAAAATACATCATATTTCATGGGTATTCTACCAGAGGAAACTAGGGTTCAGCAATAGACAAGTTTTTTCTTCTTGACTGAGAACCAGCAACTTGCAGGGGTTTTTTTTTTTGTTGTTTCTGTTCTTATTTTTCACACAAACTCATTTTGCAAAGACCAGGCAGTACTACTCAAAATGTTAACCATAACCCAAAGTCTTAAACAGCTAACTGATCATCTTTGGAGCTTAGTTTTTATTGAGAATTTGGCTGAGGATGTTCTGAGCGCACACTGCCGGATTGAGACACGCCACCTTCTCTGCTCTATTTCTTATCCTTGTTTAGGAAGCAACCAAAGCCTACTTGAAAATAGAATGAAACTACGAAACTTCAAGTGGGCATCTCCCGGTCCGCATCTAAGTGCCCCCCTCACTTAATACCACAAATGTCTTATGAAAACACTGTCAATGCCACAGGGAAACTGCAAGTTCTCTGTTTAGTTGTACATCATCTCCAGATTATTTAATGCCTGCATAGTTATGTGTTTAGCCCGTAACAGCATCAAGTCTCTTCAATAAAAGCATAGTTCCTTGTCTATTCATCACAAAGTATTAGAGCCCAGCGCCTATTTCTAAAGCTTAATACACCCACAAATGAACCCGTCTGATGTCCTCTGAAACTAATCCTCTACACCCAAAACAATAAAAGAATTCTACCAGGAAGAAATCTCAACTAATATTTATCCCTTCCCCCCCCCAAACCAAAATGGGAATTCTGTAGCAGATGCACTGTTACAGTTACTGAGAGGGTTCACTGCCTTCTACTCACTGTTTTCCTTGTTTATACTCTCTGATTTCAGTTGAGCAAGACCACACATCTAAATTTTTCCTGGTCCATTCAAACTTCCAGAGTCTCTGTTCAGTTGAATGTGTCCTTTCAGGCTCCTGTCTTCCTCCACATGCCAGCTCCTGGCATCACCTCATTGTAACTTTAAGATTTAGCCCCTTACAGCTGAGAATAAAATAAATTTCTCTTTAATGTGAGCAAAGTCAAAGAAATTATAAGTGATTTCTAACTAAGATATTAGAAAGAAACTTTTTTGAGGAAGCATTTTTGCTCAAAGAACACAACAGTTTAGATAAATGCTCTCAGTTCAGGGGAGTAAGCGTGGTTATCTCTTCTGTTCACTGGTCAAATCATTAACCAGAATTTTTTCTGATCACTTTCACGATGTGATTCTTTTAATATAAGATGGGAATAAGCAGAAAAGCTGGGAGGACTGCAGGGCTGTTCTTTCCTCAGCAGTGCTAGCTGTCACTGGTTTGAAGTACTCTGTTACAACCACACACTCAGAAACACGGTATAAGCCACTGCAAGACACTAGCTACTAGCCTACTAGGATTGACCTGATTCAACAGAACAATTTGTTTTGTTAGTTAAATCAAAATTGCAGCTCTGACATATTAAAAAAAGCCACCATTGATAAAATCTTGGTTCTGGCTTAAGTCAATAAAGGGTTTTCTATTCCCTACAGCTAGGACTTCTCACAGAATTATGTGGCTCTGAGAAAACTATTGTGTCAAAAATGCACCAATAATATAGTTACTATTAAGGACAGTACCAGAACTGTCTTCAGTAGTTTGTTTATATTTAATCTAACCTTAGCCACAAATATCTGTGCTGAAACATTTACCACTTCTCTCTTACCAAGACACTGGGAGTTTTTTTCCCTTCTCTCACCTTATTCTGTAAAGTCCTTTAAATCACATCTCTCAGGATTACAGGAACAGCTGGCACCTGTAACAGGACTAGAATTTAATCACTAAAAAAGCACATACAAGCTTATATGAACTTTAAACAAAGAGAGACTCAAAGAATGAGGTTTATAGTAGATACACCCAGTGTGAAACAGCACCAGCAATGCCAAAAACGAATTTTAAGGAAAAAAATACTGTAACAGTTACTCATTGATATAACATTTTATGAGACAACAGAAGAAACAGGTAAGACAAAAACATAAAATACTTGGAAGTTTTTGTTGAAATCTGTCATTTAAATCAGCAGTGCAAATAAATAAAAAGCTTAAAAAAATTGTTTTTCAGTTACAGGATCTGTCAAAAGACATAATTATCATCAGCCAGATAAACTTTATACCAGCTGAGGAAAACTATTATAATAAGCCACTATTAGCCCCTATTCTTCAGGGCAGAAAACTTATTAAGAAACCCCAGTCTACAAAGATGAAAGACAAGCTAAGACAGAAATGGGCTTCAAAGGAAGTCACAGTTGTAATTGCAGGGAAAAATTGTTGCTGTTGCTTCCAGCATTATTCAAAGGCAATGCACAGGGCCATGCCTGCATGACTGTCTAAAGCAGAACCTAACCTCACTCATGTTGTTTTACCCAGACATAGCTCTCCAAAATTGTTATTTTATCTAATAAATATGCTTATGTAAATAGGAGTGCTCTTAATTCCTGGCTATCAGGACAAGTCAGGAATCTTCCCCTGTCATTGCATGGGAGCATATCGTATACAATATAAATAATACATAAAGAGTTTGTCACAAACCAGCATCAGAATACTTATCCAATGGAAATGTGTAAACATTACAAAAGGATCAGACTACTTCCAATACAAGGAAGTATCCTTATACAATGATAATTTAGACTAAATTTTCATTTACAATAAAGTGTAAAGTAGCAATGTAAAAGAATCTTAAAGTTTACTGCCAAGGGAACACCAAGGTCCCTTCAGTGAGGTAAGAAATGACAGAAGAGAGCACCGACATTTCACAGGCCAACCTAAGGATCCAACCTAACCTCAGCGGGAGTTGCAAACTATGTATTTCAAAGCCTCATTTACGGGATCAGATCACAGCGTACCATTCTAGATCACACTTTTCCCCCCAGGCCCACACTTGTAAGTATCATTTTACAATTTTTCAGTTTGACACAGAGAGCACAAATGTTTAGAATTTATATGGATTTCAACCTTGTAATTTACTGTGCAGCCTAAAAACAACAGAACACTGGCCTTGTTCTTAGACAGTAATTAATCCACTTTGAAGACGATGAAAAGACAAATTTGTGCATGTCCTCAGAGAAATGTCTGGTCAAGAGACCGTAGTACTCTATTGAAAGTCTTCTGTAGAGTCCAAACAGGCTCAGGATCTGGCCCTTCTATCCCTCCAGAAAATGGCAATACCATACTTTCAACCCATAAGTCATGTATCCAAGCATGACTGTAAGTGAAGCTCAGTGTTTACTCTATAGACCAGACCTCCAGCACCTGCACACTCTCGTGCAGCACTTTTTCAACGCCTACATTTTTCAGCAGAACAATGCAGTTTACAGGGCAGTACACTAGCATTTAAATCTGTACCCAAGAATTAACCTGTGAAAACAGCAAATTATGCATGCATTGTTAATTTCTAATATGCTTCCTGTTAACAAAATCTGAACATGCATGCAATGTTTAAATCTTAATCTCTTCAGAGTCAAATTCTGGCTGGATCTTTCATATACTTTTTTTCCAAAATAAAATTGCATCTCAGTCTGCATTTTTCCTGACCTCTGATCTGAAGCTCCTCTGTCTTCAGAGCTGTAGAGAGCACACCTTATAATGTCAGATTTCCAAGTTGTCCAAAAAAATCGTGCACTCTCTCCATAGTTCCTATCTTCTGGCATTCAGCCATGTATGGTCCAGCAGTGTGCCAGCATCCAGACACAGAATAAAAAGAGCAAGCAGTAGTTGTTCATTTTACCTAAAGCAGAGGGCAAACAAGCCCTATATCAGCCTAGGAAGAAAAATGTCGGATTTTTGTTTTGGTTTTCTTGGAAGTCACACAGTAATATTGTTTTCCAAAGTTTTACTCCTCATCCTTATAAAATATATTACATTTTCTCAACCATTATCCCAACATTATAATAATCCACAAAATATTTTTCCCCTCATTGCAGCATGCAAAGTAGAAAACTATTTTAAAGCAGCTTATTCAAAGTTATCACGTAAAGAGAATGCTTTTTCCATTCTCCAAACCTTTGTGATGTTACTGTCCATTTCCTAATGCAGAATGCACAGTAAGCTCAGAGCTGAATAAGGCAAGGTGCCTTTTTAAATTCCTTTTGGAAGCAGGCTGATCACAGAACTTGACTTCAATGTTGCCATCGCTGAATGCCTCCCTCCTGGCTTCATCTGAGTCAATGGGATCTCTTTGAGAAACACTTGCCTTTTGCCGCCTCATAGTAATCCCCGAGTTCCCAAGTTGCCTCGCTGGTGATACATTTTCTTTGACAATGCAGAAGCAGATAGCAGACAAAAAATTTTTCTTGAAGTTTTCGTTCATGAAAGCATACACAATAGGGTTGCAAATAGAATTGAAGAATCCTATAATCTGGACGATTGCAAAGATCATTTTGACTGTCACATCATCATACACCTTTTCAAAATTACCTGGAAAGGAAAAAAGGAAATATGCTGTAAGCACAGAATGGTGTAACTGCCTACAACTGAGCCTATTTATATCCAACCTGGCATTAGAAGCTCTGGTTTAAAAATCAACAAAAGACCTTGCTGGAGGTTCTCAATATTAGCAACAGGGTTTCATCAGCAAGGAAATAACCAAGATCTACCTACCACATAGCCCTGCTTTGTGTATAAATAAATAAGAACACAGTGATTCAAAAGAGGCAATTTATGAGCCAAAAAACTTGCCCAATGGCCAAGTGACAGAAAGCTTCCAGTCTGCTAAGTATAGGTCTTGCTTATTCGAATGGTTCTTCTCGCTCTGCATTTCATGTCCATATCAAATGTGTACGTACTTTAACATCAAACCTGTCTTCTCACGGACCATACAGAGTTTCTTTCTCTGTGCTGACACAGATCGACTCAGAGGTAAAAATGCATCTTCTTTGTCACATCTCTCACTTTTCAATCATTGAGATCAGAGGACTGAATTCCCTGAATTCAAATACTCAGCACCAAACTTTGGATAAGCACTACAAAAGTTTACATGGCAAGTGAAATAAAGATCTTGTAGCACCTGAAATAATTCCTGAAATGAGCAATGAAGAGAAAGGAAAGAGTTTATAAAGTATTATGGACAACTTTAACATCGGACAACCCAGACAATTTTAATAGTTACAGCTTCTGCACTTCTGATTCTGCCCAGGCATAAACATCATTTGGTTCACCTGACTGGCAGCAGGACTACTGATTTATCTGCTACAACCCTATGTGTGATAGAAGACAAAGAAACAGCTGCTACCTTTGGCAAGTAGAGTACAGAAGCTACCAAAAACTTCCTCTTGTTCCTACACATAGCCTGATGCATAGTCCCACGTGCTATCCCAGTACCCATGCAGGAGACGGGAGATGAACAGTGCAAGAATAGGGCAACTAGCAAAAAGCAAAGATAATAAGCATTGAGGGCATTTCCAAGCTAATATCCAGTACAGAACACCAAAAAAGTTCAACTGGATTCATTGGGTATTATCACTATGATGTCTAGTATTTTATATTTCTGATATGTCTACCTCATTAAGACCAGGGGAAGTGAAGGGATAAATATTTCCTAACAGTTTAACTCAAAGCAGTATTACAACTTAAGCAGATGCAAATAGAAGTCTTCACACATCAAATTAAAATTGAATTTGAATTGAAAAGTTACTTGTTCAAGAGGTTTTATGCTTGGAAATAACTTTTACCTTCCAGCCAGGTACTTTTGACCTTTCAGCAAATGAGGGTAGCACGACAGACATAGAAAGAAAAAGAATCTACAGAGATACACTCACCATGTTAATAGTCAAGTCTCGCCTTTTCTCAATTCTTGTAAGGCCTAGCAAACCTCCTTTCAGGACTGGATTATATGCTGTACTAGTTGAGAATTGACAATCTCCTCTCTAAAGGGCTTACATTCTAAAAGAGCTGACAGAGAGTATGGGTTCCCTCCCACCCACCTGCAACAAAGTTCAGTAGGGTTTACAGCAAGACAAAGATTATCTTTTTTTTTAATTTTTTTATTATTTTATTCACACAGCAGGGAAGATGAGATCTGGCTGACACACAAATGCGTTTCAGATAAGTTATCTCCCAAACACTACATCTGATAAGAGGTTTTTTTCCAAACGTACTCACTTTCTAGGAGCACTGCAGATCTATCTATCACTCAGACTTCAGAGGAATTCATCTGTTGTTGGCTATGCATCTCTATTACAAGGCAGTGATGCAGAATTTATAAGTACATTACCATTTGTTAGCGGAAGGTATTCTGTAGCCGAATGCTGCAGCAGCACTAGCTTTTTACAATCTGTAGTTCCGTTATCAAAAAAAAAAAACCAACTACAAAAGACTTTATTGTATAACCCATGGCAGATACTCACTGTATTCTATCATCATGTGAATCACATGGAAAGGGGCCCAACAGACTGCAAAGAGAAACACCACTGTCACCATCATAACAATTGCTCGCTTCTTCTTCCTGAAATTGCATCAAGACATTCCATACTGAATCACTAAGAATTGACTGGCAGTTAGACATGTCTCCAAGTTAAATCTGTAAATGTGTTCTGATGGTTGCAGATGCAACTAAAACCTTGGAAGAATGCTCAGAAGTACACAGTTCCCTTTGAAACAAAAAAATGCAGCATCATATAAATGTAGTACATCAATTAACACCTTTTATTTCTCTCTTTTGAGAAAGCAATGCACTTTGCAGCTGCAGCAAGCAATCACATTAGCATATCTTGCAAGGCATTTTTACTGTATTCAAGTGGATGTGAGTCCAATAGTAAAAGATGGGGGAACCATATGAAATTCTATTATAGCTCAAAAAACAAGAGTCCATCTCTACATCTGAGCGCACTAACCATAACTGCAGCACCTGATTACACAGAGAATTTGACAGAGTAAATGAAAGTACACCTGCAACATTCAACCTTTGCTAGTAGGTGAAGTGCTGGAATAAAAGCAAGAAACACACTCTCTGCCTCCACTGTAGTATCTGACAAACTCAAGGTATACATGATTATTGTCATCCCCAAATTGATATATAATTCATATAACTACATTGATAGATCCCAGGATGGATCTCTCACTTCAGCTAAAGCAGCAGCACTTCACTAGTAGCAGTTACAGGATCTTTTCCCACTGTGTGAAAGTAAGTTGAGGAGTAGCCCAAAGATTACGTCATCTTAACTTCTATGAGATTGCACCCTCTTTCAGTTTTGACTTACGAGGGTCCACTTCCTTAGGTGCTTTACTAGACAAATATCATCAAAAGGCATCATTTATCTTTAAGCTGCTTGTCAGTATTCTCCTTACAGTCAATGCTCAAGCTGATACTCCTCAATGACCAGAACTGTTAGACATTTCTAGCACATCAGGCAACAGATCAATTTGCCAAATGAAAGGAAAATATGAGGCAATATTAAGGGTAGCCCATACTTAGTGCTAAAGAGCAAAGATAATAATTATTGATTTTCATAACTTTTGAGATAGAGCATTACCATCTGGATAGTCTCACACAAACACATCAGAGCACTCAAAACTTTGGAAGCTATATCCGGTTAAACTGTACCAAAGTAGTTTTTAAATGAATTCCGATTTTTTTCCCCCATATGCCAATATGCTTAACTTATAATAAACTTATCATAAAGCAGTGTTCATAGTCTCAGAATTATATAAAGAACTTTCCATAGAACATATGGAAATAATGTGGCAGCATTTTCCCCAAGTCATCTTCTAACTCATGGCCTATATCTTTTAAAAACAAGCATTTCACAATGCATAATATGAGATTTATTGAAAGGGCTTGACTTTCAAGGTGTGGCTACAGTATACTGTGAAGGAAACAATCTGTTTAAGTTGCCTTAAATTGGGTATTTAAGTATTAAAAAACTAGTTAGCTTTAAAAACCTGGTCTATGCTTATAGACTTCCCAATGGATAAGGAAAGATTTTTTTTTTTGCATTGATTTTCAAGAACTGTCGGGGGGGGGAAAGCATTCTAGAAGTCAAAGTTCCAACTGTATTTTACTTTACAAACCTTGATATTTTAGACATTTCACTCCCATGAATGGTTTGAAGAACTGAAGCATCTCCCACTCGTTTCTTGATCCAGAGTTCATAGCCAATTTTAGTGTACAAAAAAAGCATCAACATCAGTGGAAGAAGGAATAGTATAACAAGAATAAAGGTCGTATATATCTTCTGATAAATCGGACTGGCCCATTCTTCCAAGCAACAAACATACACTTTTTCATACAGAAAGTCATATTTAACCTGTAACAAGTGTAAAGGAGATGAGTCACTACAGTGTTTACCCCAAGTGTAAAAACCAAGCACATTCAAATATGCCTTGCTCTTAATACAACAACCAAAATTCAATAGACTTTTCAAAGTGACAAAATTCTTCCAAGCACTTTTCCACATCAAATATTGGGTTGATCCAAGCTGACAAAGAGAGTTCAGGAGATGCTCTGATTCGCACTCCTCAAAACTGTGTGGTTTTTTTTTTTAAATGAGGATTTTCAAAGGAGATCCTGGCTACACATTTTGCAAATAAAGATGAGTATATAGAAACCTCACATATTAGTCACTGAAAAAAAGATTCGTTAACATTCAGACTCAGAAGCAGCCGATTATGACAAGCTTTTTTTTTTTCCTTCTCTCCTCCCAAAGTGTTCAGTAACTCCTTAAACTATAATGGCCAGCTAATTACATTTTAATCTAGGCAGACTTCTTCCAAATCTCAGGGAACACTATGTCATCCTGAAACAGTAACATACGCTGCATGCCAGTGCCCCATAAACCTAAAGGAAGCCACAGTGGTAGTCATAGATGTAATTACTGCTCTTTGACATAACTGCGGAGAGCAGACATGACTAGTCCCTGCCAGTAGTCCCTCTGCCAGTGCACGCAAGTCCTAATCTTTAGCCTTTCTCATGCTGGCACACAGAAGAAAAGCTTCACTTCTCTTATCCCACTCTCATTTCTTCAGAGTTTATTCAATTTCATTGCTAAAGGTACAAAAAGATCCAGCAAGGACCGAGTTTAAAATGAAAATTCCCATTTCACCTAACATACCTCAAGTCGTTGCACATGCCACATAGGTGACCCAACAATAACTGCCAACAACCAGACTATGCCTGTAAACAAATACATTTTTTAACACTTTGTACAACAAGCAGCATAAGTTTTGGTATGAACAGTTTAACAGCTTCATCTTTAAAAAGTCAGGCAAAGTAGACAGTTTAAATAAAGAACAAAGTTCTTTCTGTAAGACATGCATCAGTCAACATTGACATCAATAACAGCATGTTCTTCTGTTACCAGTTCTCCTTCTCTCAAACTACCTTCATTTATTGGTATTCAAGGCTAAAGGCAACTTAATTTGCATGAGCAGCATTATGTACATTCTCTTTGCATTATACAGCTGTGACATTTGACATTACTTTAGCAATGCTTGTACATTTTGAACCTTTCTTAAAAAACAACAAAACAAACAAAAAAATAAATAAAAGGCTGCCAGAGTCAGAGTCTTGGTTAAGTAAATCTTTGACTTCAGATTCTAATTTTATTGTCAGGGTTTTGGCTAGTAATTACCATACATATAGGCACTATCCTTGAGCTATTTCATAAACATGACCAGACTTATCATTAACTCTACCTCTGAATCACTGGTCATATCAGTGCCTTCTGGTCTGTCATGCCATCTACACTGAAGGTTATTTCTCTATACACGCAACTACTGGAGATGCCTAAAATCTTACCAAGCATCGTGAAAGCTCTTTTATTGGTGTACTGCCATTTCATTTTTAGTGGATGCACAATTCCCTGGTGTCTTTCCACAGCAATGCAGGTCATTGTAAGAATCTCAGTTACAATAGCAGTGGATTGAACAAATGGTACCATCTTGCAAGCGAAGGCACCTGTAATAGTCAGAAAGTAAGGTATGCAACTGTTGCAGTTCATGAAAAAGCTATTAATACTATAATTTATTACTAAAGTGCTACTGTGCAAAAAGAACAGACCAATATTCTTCGATTTATTTTAACAGCTAAACTGATAAGTCACCTATTTAAACTATTCATCAAATGCAGCTTTCAATACTCATTCTTCCATTGTACAAGCTACACTTGCAAAACCAAGACTTCTAAGGACATATTTGCTTGCTCTGTATCAGTCTGACTTATTATTTCACTTTTGACAAAGTCTTCCATAATCTGTTTTCAAGTGTGCCAAGTTACAGGGATATTTATTATCTTTTTATCTTGGCAGATTACTCTCCAGTTGTATGAAGGTACTGAACAGCTTTATTTTGTTATTTATTTCTGTTTAAACAACATACTGCTCAAACAATTTCAGATCCTAAAGATGACATTTAGTGAAAGAGTAACATACTAAAGAACAAAATCCCACGTAAGATAAGTGAGTTTCAGTCAAGATTATTTAAATCTCGCTCCTTACAGCGTGTTTGGAGTCATTAAGCTAATCACCATTTGGATAAAGGAAGCATTTGCAGAAGAAAGAATCCCTCCTTCATTTTAATGGGGGAAGGAAGGGAATGTACAGTGTTTCCTGGCTCTACACACAATGAAATAATACTGAAAAAGCAGAGAGAATTTAAGATAAATTTTTAAAAACGATGTTTAAAAGTTGTCCTCAGACAGACCAGTCATCAACATAAACCTACAGCAGCTGTCAAGAAAACAGTACCTCAAATTGTAATAAACAGAAGAAGGAAGTAGCCTGTGAGATGGAAGAAAGCAATTAGAGATATTTGTCTTTCAAAGGTGAGAAACAGAATTAAGAAACAGGGAAGTATGCACTCTTCTTCAAACCTATGAAGAAAAATGAGGTAAGAAAGGATGACATCTACTTGTTTCAAATAAATCTGACTGACAGATCAATTAGAACAGTACATTCACTGCCTATAGATAACTGCTAAAAACAATGCACTTCAGTTACACTGCAACTTCCACCCAACAACTTCACAATAGTCAGTAAGTGACAATCATATAATAAATTACATTAGAAAATAGCGATTAATTTTCTCCAAGAGAAAAAACCTTAATATGCACATATACAATATCCTCTTACTTACCAAAAGTAGTTCTTTTACAAAGTGGGAGACTATCTCTCACTAAACAGACACCTCACATTTTAATCATTAACTGGAAAGATACAACCCCTATTGAGAAAAATAGCTATGAAGTGCAGACTCCAGTCATTAAAATTTATATAAACCAATGTTTCTTAGCTGCTGATTTAAATCATTAATTACTAAAGCCACCTCCAACGTCAAGTGAAAGGATTTAAGAGAAGCTCTTAAAGCATTCACTTTTTTTCCACGCTGATCATCTTGTTCTGTTATCGCTAATTCTTTATCTTAAACCCCTACAGCCTTTAAATCATTGAAAACAAACAAAAATTATTATCTGCCTCTTCTTTCATTGAAGAAGGGTGCAATAAAGGCAGGCAGAATATACAGTTCCAGCAGGATTTGGCAGCTAAAGTCCATGTGACACAGCAACATCACATCCCTGCGCTCCCAGTCCTAGTCACCCACTCTTAGAAGATAAAGCAGTCTACATGGACTACTCTGCTTCTCTATATATTACTGTTAAACAACCCAAATTAGATTTCCTCTCAGGCTTCACGATATATCACCTGGTAAACATACAGGATTAAAAAGTGAGAACAATTTCAAAACAGAAATCCCTCTTCTATTGCCTGCTTATGTGCATCTTATCCTTGAGTTAACCAGTCACTTTCAGAACAAAAGGCATTCCCCTTGCCCCTAAATCAGAATCGGGACATAATGATAACAATCCAGGATTAATGCAATCACTGACTTACTCTTAAACAATGTTTAGTTTGATTCATATGAAAAGTCTGGCTAGATCCTCACTTAAACTGAAGTTTAAATTCTTAAGCCTGACTCCAAAATTTGTGTGGACACCAGCTCCCTGATGTCATGAATGAACATTAAATGAGCCAAACTTTAAACAGAAGTTTAAACATTGGGGAAAATGGCTGCTACTTTCTGCTTCCCAATGCAAAACACACAGCTAGACTTATTCCAGGTCTTTCAGACACCTGGGACATTTTTATACTATACTGCACAACATACATAACACCTACGTAACGCTTCTAAATGCAGAGATAAACACAGCTCCAGTACATTAAGTATTCTGGTAAGACCCCAGCACTGAAGCCTTCTTGTGCTAAAACTAAGCACTGGAGAAACGTCAGTCTGTTTCTCAGATTATGTTTCACTTTTTTTTTCCCCCCCGACATGGCTACACTGAATCTTTCAGAACAGAATTTTGCTTCAGTTCTTTTGCAATCTATGAAGTAGTTTTAGGCATCCGATATGCCCAATATGCATAAATCAGAATCTGATTAGTATTTTTCAAAGATTTTCTGAAGGCTGTTTAAAAATACTGTTTCAGCAAGTCTTTCCAAGAAAAAATAAAAATCTCCTTTTTTGCCTGCTCATTTTCAACTCACATCCCCCAGTACAGAAATAGGTGAGTTTTTAAAATATTATTATTAATACTTTACCTAATATCTTAAATATATATCAAAATGTTTAACTTTCTACAAGGTAAGATTCTCAACAAACACTTCCAATAGACTGTTAGTGAAGACAGCACCGCAGCATTTAATACTGACCATTTCCAATGGGGAAAGGAAATTATTTGCCGAGGAATACTGTGAATGAAAATAATTAATTGCTTCTCTTTTTCAAGAAGCTAAGAGGTTCCCAAAAGTATTCCTTATGCACTGCTGAAAACTGCATAGATTATTCAATGATTAGTTTTCCCCAATGATAACACATTCAAAAGGCTGCAAATATAAATGGTATTCCCTTAAAAAATTCTTTATGACCTCATTATCAGATGTTGCTCCTGTAACTATGATTTAGCCACTTCATCACCCATTTAAAAGATCAGTTTTTCTTTTATTAGAGTAACAAAGGCAAAATCCTAAAACTATTCTCGGATAAAAGTTAAATTGCTCCTTCCTCTGTTAAAATGTTGTTGATCAAGCCCTGGCACTAAAATCTCTATCACAGCTTGTAAATCAGTTCTCTGCAGCTCACGATGCCAACAAGCAAAGTTTTCTTATATTTTGTAACTTCAGGTCAGAAAACAAGTCAGTCGTCATCCTACAGATAATATCCTTAAGGGTCTTTCATACTCGGGCAATACATTGTCTTATATAAATTCTTGGGTATACAGGTATTTTGCATCCTTAGTAGTTTACAATCTGCAATGCAAAAGTCTCTCACATGCTACCTATGGAGGATAAAGAACATTATACATACATCTGCCCAGAAAAAGGCATGAGCATAACACTTGATAGTACACCTGTGGTAGTTTAAGGCTGTTTATGGTTAACTACAGCAGCTGAGGTAAAATGGTATGGTATGGCATGACCCCATGCAATTAGACCACATGCCTCAAATAGCCTATAGTTTATTTCCCAATGCAAGGTGGAGTCCACACCATTCCCTCTATGCTGCAATTTGAAAGTGTGGACCACACACCTTGGGCTAGCTGACTGTCATGGTTTTACCCCAGCCAGCAGCTGAGCACCATGCAGCTGCTCATTCACTCCCCGCCCCATCGGGACGGGGGAGAGAATTGGAAAAGTTGAAGTGAGAAAACTCATGGGTTGAGATAAAGACTGTTTAATAGGTAAAGCAAAAGCCACGTGCACAAGCAAAGCAAAGAATTCATTCACCACTTCCCATGGGCAGGCAGGTGTTCAGCCATCTCCAGGAAAAGCAGGGCTCTGTCACACGTAACGGTTACTTGGGAAGACAAACGCCATCACCCCGAATGCCACCACCCCCCAGTCCCTCTTCTTCCCCAAGCCTCTTATAAAGTGAGCATGGTATGGAATATCCCTTTGGTCAGTTTGGGTCACCTGTCCTGGCTGTGTCTCCTCCCAACTTCTTGTGCACCCCCAGCCATCCCACTGGCAGGGCAGTGCGAGAAGCACAACACGCCCTGGCTCTGTGTAAGCACTGCTCAACAATAGGTCCATAGAACAAAAACATGTCTATATTATCAACACTGCTTCCAGCACAAAGCCAAAACATAGCCCCATGCTAGCTACAATGAAGAAAATTAACCCTCTCAGCTGAAACCAGGACACTGACTCAGTTATTTCACACTGCCCACTCTCCTCCCCCTTCCCTAAAAGGCTCACATCCAGCTTCTCTGCCCATGGGTCCAGTCTTCAGGCAAACTTGGATCTGCAGCTTATTTCAAAATGCAGCAATTTGTGAGTAAAACCAAATAGAAACATGCAAAGATGCAGGATAGCTGTCACTATTATAGTCTCACACACTTATACAGACTCTTAAGAGATCAGAGAATCAAAAGTGAGACAGATTCATTCATTTTTGGTTAATACGGTACTGCTCACAGTTGCTGCCTATGTAGAGCTAGCAGGTCTGTGTTAATGCTGCATAATCACCTGGCAAACCAAGGCACACATTCACTTCCGTGAAACTGCAGTTGCTACATTGTAGGTGAAGTTAAGATGTATTAACAAATACACTGTGGAAAAAGTCATGCCAGTGCTTTAGTTTTTCCCATCTACGTCAGAAGTTCTGGTAAGTGTAATGCAGCGAACCCAAGAAAACTTCAGTTTCTAAAGAATTCTGACAAACACTATCTATTAGAGGATCCACTTTACCATCCATAATTTTAACTACTTTACATCACCAGCTATCAACATTCTCCTTGGACTTCTACTGTAAACTACGCATACCTGGAACCCTTTGGGGTGAAAGAGTTTCACCCTTCACTTTAGAAGGGCCAAAGTGGTAGGTAGTCCCTTCTGATAGCATCCTATAATATCTTAAAAGATAACAGCTACTCTGAAGCTGTGGCTGGTCTTATGTTTGTATGTTCTGCCTCTACAGTCTAGAGTGTTTGCAGTTTTCCC